TAATTTATAAATTTTACGTATGAAAATATAAACGCATGGATGCAGATTCAGGTGTGAATAATTGGGTAACTGAAGATATGTGTAACATAACCAAGCATAACATAATGTAAAGCAACATTACATAATATCGTGTTATATTATATTATATTATATTATATTATATATTGTGTTGTGCTATTTCATTTTATTTTGTTTTATTTCATATTGTTTTATATTATTTCACATTATTTTGTATTATTTTATACAATGTAGCATAGTACAGTGTAGTATAGTATAGTATAGTTTAGTTTATTATAATATAGTAAAATATATTAAAATGTATTAGCATATAGCGTAGCATTAATATAATATAGTATAATAATATATAATGAAACATAGAATAATATAATGTGATATAAAAAATCTGTATTTTGGGGAGGTATTTGTCGGGGCATATGCAGTTGTGGTGGTAGTGAGTTTGATTGGTGTATCTGCGGGCAGTCCACAGCGTTTTGTTGTATTGTAAGCGTGTTAGGTGACACAAACAATAACGCGTTATTTGGATAGATTGTCTGTGCTGTCTTTTCGCAGCTTGTCTGCATCGGTATTAGATTTGATTTTGTTTTTTTTTAAACTAAATTTTAACGCCATTTTTATAGCCAACAAGAATAACATAGTATGTATTTGCAGTTTTTCACTCTGATACTTTATCGTCTATCAGTATTATGATTGTTATTAGTGTTGATATTATTGTTATTGTTAGTGTTGTTACGATTATATTCGTATTTATATTGATAGTGATGTCGATAATAATAACAGTAATGGTAATGATAATAATAATAATAATAATAATAATAATAATAATAATATAATAATAATAATAATAATAATAATAATAATAATAATATAATAATAATAATAATAATAATAATAATAATAATAATAAGAGTTTATATTATTATTATTACTACTGCTGTTGTTATTACTATGCTTATTGTTGTTGTCGTTGCTTCGCTGTTGTTGCAAATAATGTGACTTACTGTGTTTGAGATGCTTTGGCATTCTTTGTGTTTGCGATTGGTTTGGCTGATAGGTTTTTTTTTGTTTTATTATTGCCATCATTAAAGCATTGGTGAAAGTACAGGGGATAAATGGGAGAGATAAAACGATGTATGGACAGTTTTGATAATGGTAATTTCCAGTTGTTATGCTTTTTTTTTTTTTTTCGTTTAACTGATATGCATTGTTTTAATGACGTATGTAATGTATAGAATAACTTTTGAATAGTAATTTGTGTGAGGACAGTGGCGTCGTTGATTCTGTTGACCGTAGTGATGGCTGAGGAGTGTTTTTTATACAGCTGTTCAATTTTTTTTCTGTTAAACGTCTTTTGCTGAATGTTTGTTTTTATTGTCGTTTTTGTCATCTTTTTAAGAAACAGTTAGAAGGGTTAATTGATCGGTATGGTATTGATTTAAAGAGAGTTAGAAATGTTACATTTTGAAGTGTGCTTGGCTGTGGTAAGTTTCAGCAATAAGGAGAGTCATCCGTATGCTGTTAATTTGTTTTCTGGTCACTACTGCAAATAACCGTTGCAGCTGAAGATTCTGGTGCTGTCGCCGTTGGATAAATAGACGATGAGTTGTTCAGAGGCTAGTGATGAAGGGGAGGGGGCGGTTCATCAGTACTGTATTATCTCTGAGGTAGGAACTGCAACTAGCAATTGAAAATGAGGCGGCTCCATGTTCGTTTCATATCTATTTAATTTTTTTATTTCTTTTTCTGTTGTGTAAGTTTGTAATATGTGGTGGCACAAAACACATGATATTTGGTATTGAGAGTTAAGATTACTATTTTGAGTTGCTGTTTTTTGTGTAGAAGATTTTTACTTTTCCTTATTTAACTTTTTGAATACATTTAGAGTAACAGAAAGAACGGAAAAGTTGGAGTCAAAAATTATGACCTTTTTATTTACATCTGAAAGAAGAAAGAAAGAAATAAGTTAGTAGTGATGTTGAAGTGCAAAGCTAAGGCTGCTATTTGTTGTATTAAGCAGCTGATAAAATGTCCAATAGAGTTATATTGTAGACGTATATATGTATATTTGTGTATTGTTTGACTATTGGTAGCAGAGCTTTTTGCGTTTTTTTTTTTTTTTTTTTTTTTTTTTTTTTT